ACCGCAACACTTCGAGGCAGTATGAACCGTCCCATGCACACTCGCTCAAAGGACAAATCCAGGGGCTTGCTAACAATGTATGTAAAAACAAACCTCTTCATCAAAAACGTTGGGCGTAAGTTAAAATCTACTTTTTTTTTTTTTTTTTTACCTATTTTCATTTGGATAAAGCGCAATAAAGGTAAATATCAAAAAAAAAAAAAAATCACAGCTGGTCGTCTTTTAATATACAACTCACAACATATACACACCTATTACAAGTACCGTTCTTCGCTTATGACACTCTTTCGAAAAACCTTCACCTCGTCATAATTTTAGGTTAAAAATCATTAAAAATTAATAATATAATCATGCTTGATGTTTTTAAAATTGGTAAAAAAAAAAAGAAAGGTTTCCAAATTGAAAAATATGTCGAGGTATTATATAGGATTCTTACGCGTTACGTCATGCAATAAACAATGAAAAAAATAACAACGCGTTCAAATGATTCTAGAACATTTTAGAACATTTTAGAACAATTTTTTTAATAAATCATGTGATATTAATTCGAATCATAATAATTTACCTATATCTCGTGACTTGATATCCTAGTCATGTAAAATTATAAAAATTATAACTACTTTTTTTTATCATTTTTATAGTAAATTTTTTTGTACAAACTAACTTTATGAATTATTTATGTTATCTATTCAATATTTATAATTTTAAAATAAATCTAAAAACTATTAAATTAAGAAAAAAAAATAAACCAAAAAAATTTATTTTATCCAGTAAATAAAACAATTTTAGGTTAAAACTTTTGTTCATATGATCATATGATAAATCCCTTTTTGGCCAATAATTCTTGATGTCTACCTTCTTCAGCTACTTTACCATCTTTTATAACAAATATAATATCAGCATGTTGAATTGTTGATAATATTGATAATGTTGTTCGACCTTCTGACGCTTTATCTAAAGCTTTTTGAACGATCTTTTCTGATTCAGTATCTAAAGCTGATGTTGCCTCATCTAACAACAGAATTTTTGGATTTCGTATTAGTGCTCTTGCGATCGCAATCCTTTGTTTTTGACCTCCCGATAATTGACTTCCTTTATTTCCAACATGAGTATCATCCATTTGTAAACCAATGATAAACATCTCTCTTATTATTAATATGTAAAGCCTTTATTTCATTTCCGTCTAATTCAACTGACCGATTCGATACAACATAAAATCTTTCGGTTAATCCTATCATAGTACTTTTACCACAACCTGATGGTCCAAATAATGCTACGAATTGTCCCGCTTTGATTTCTAAGCTAAGACCGCGAAGAACGGGTACAAAGGGACGTGTAGGATAATTAAAATGAACTTTGGAAAATTTAATGTGTCCTTTAGCAACATCAATTTTCTTGCCATTATTAGACCATGTATCTATTCTTGGAAAACTTTCAATTAATGATATTATAGATTCTGCCGAAATTTTTGCTCGTGTTATATCAGGTGCATACGCAAAGATACGTCCGGATGATATGGCTCCAAAGATAACTGCAATTTAAGTTGATCGTTAAACGCTTATACTACTTTATGATTTGACGTAATAAATAAATACTCACCCGCCATGAAAACAGTAAAGAATCGGAAAAGATCGTATTTACCATTTAAAAATTATAATATATATATGGGTGGTTTGCTATTAAAATTAAGGTACGAATCAATAATTTGCTATGTCTCGTATCTCAATTTTAATAGCATACCACCCATATATATACATGTAAATAATTTAATTTTTCTTGCAAGAAAATTTATATACCAAAGTAGCTACATACCAAAATACCATTGCTTCAGCAAGATAATTAGTACAGGATGTGAGAGCAAAAGTCATACTTCCAAAAATCACATTTATATATCCTTCCTTCGGAGGCTCATCCAACAATTGACTATATAATTTCAATACATTATTCTCTCGTGTAAGTGATGCAACGGTACGAATATTGGCCGTTCCTTCACACGCAACTTGTGCCGATCGTTCGTGAGCCTTTAGGGTCTTTGCTTCGAATCCTGACATCATTTTGATTTGATAGAAACCACCCAACATTAGAAATGATATCGAAATCATTGATAAAAGCGCCAGTTTCCATCCAATTATCAATGCAACTATATATTTCCCGATATGAGAGTGGCAATGATTTTGAAGAATAGTGCCAAGTGTGGCACCGGCGAGTCCGGAAATTTCTGTTGCATTCGTTGATAATGCACTCGTCAAAGAACCGGAATTATTATTTTCTTCGTCAAAGAAACTTATATCTTTTCGTAACATCGCTGAGAATGACATTGAACGAATTCTAAAAACAAGATATTCTCCGGATATGCCAAAAATAAACCTTGAACAAAGTTACCAACCATAGCAAGGGCCGCAACGACAACTACATAGTAATTAATTATAATTTGTCGCTCTTTTTTTTTTATACAAAGAAATAAGATATATATTTTATACTTACGAAACATAAGTGACCAAAACGTTGCATCTTTTTGTAATTCATCCACAGGTTTTGCAAAAGTGTTTATAACTTTTCCAAAGATAATAGCGAATAATGGGTAAATCATGTCAGTTACCAACGAAGCAAAGAATCCCATAATCATAAATACCATTCAGGACGATTGATTTTAGCAATTTTTGTAATTATTTCCCAAGTGGTATATTGATAATTTAGATTAGCCCCCTTTTCAATATCATTTAACTCATTTTTGATACAAGCGGATTTAGAAGACAAGATAGATTTATTCGATATAACTTTTGAAAGAGCAATTCCTTCTTCGGAATACCTTTGTTAGAAATTTCTTCGAATTTTTGTGCGGCGATTAATCTTGAATAAGGTCCCTCTTGATCTTGAATTAATTCATCATGAGTACCGGTTTCAATAATTTCACCATTACTCATTACAACAATTTTTGTAGCATTTCGAATTGTTGATAATCTGTGAGCTATTATGACTGTCGTATCTAAAGCATCTTGCACGATTCCTTCGCTTTGCGAATCAAGTGCACTTGTAGCTTCATCCAATAATAATATCTTTATCTTTAACAATAGCTCTTGCGATCGCAATGCGCTGTTTTTTTCCTCCTGGTAATAAAAATCACATTCGTTTCATATTATCTGGTAAATTCATAATAAATCAACCCATGAGATACATTTTCCGCAATCGATGTGTTGAAAAGTACAGGAGGTTTTTGACTTACAAGGTTCATTTGTCTTCGAGTCCATTTTAAATTAAATCTTTTAATATCATGCCCATCAACTAAAATCTCTCCCTCAACGGGATCATAAAAACGAAGAATGAGAGATACAATTGTACCTAAAAAAAAATGGGGTAAGAAATAATAAAAACAGTCTTGTTAACGAGTTTAAATGAATTTAACATTTACTTTTTCCGGATCCGGAAGAACCAACTAGAGCGACGGTAGTGCTAGGTTCAATATCCAAAGATACGTTTTTCAAAGTTTTTATTTCAGATCGGGAAGGGTAAATAAACGAAATGTTTTTTAATTGAATCCGGCATTCAATATTTTCCAACTCAATGCCTTCCTTTGATTCAATATCAATTGGAGGAATCCTGTTTATCGTTTCGAAAATTTTTTCCCGGCTCCTTGGGCATTAGTGAATCTGACAATGTCCGGCATAATATTTCCAAGAGCAAAACTGCCAGAACACATTAACTACCTAAAATAAAATTTTTACATAATCAAAGAATATAATAATATCTAAATATTAAATGTATAAATAAAATACTTACAGTTCCAGGAGTTATCTCCCCGCTAATAATTAAAGTAGAACCGTACCAAAAAACCAAGGCATAGGTTGAATAAATAAAAAATTTTATTGTGCCTACGCATAAACCATTCAAACCACTGGCTTTGACCCCAATACTTTTAACCATTTCTAATTTGGCATCGTAATTTTTTGAGAGATTTTTTTGTTGAGAAAATGCAATTGCCGTTCTAATTGTGGAAAATGTTTCCTCTGCCATAACAGCGGCGTTGGAATATCTAGAATTTTTACTTTATACTTGGCAATAAATTTATTAAATATACTACCATTTATTGCAATTAAAGGGAATACCCCACAAATGACTAGGGTCATTTTCCAACTTTTTGAAAATGCTATCGCAAAAGCAGTTACAAATTGTGCCAAATGCGGTGGTTTATCTTGTAAAAGAAGAAAATTTATCAAATTTTAACTTACAGAAAATAACATGGCCACTTGTTCACTAATGCCATTTTGAATCAAATGAGTATAGTATCACTTGTGATTCTTGTCGTAACCTCACCGGCGCCAATTTTATCAAAATACGCAACATTTTGTCCTAAAACCGCACGTAAATAATTTTCTCGGATTTTTCGAGCAATCCTTTTTTTTTTAATTTTTAAAAAGAAAAAAAAATTTTTTTTGTTAAAATTGACGTAACGCAAAAAGAAATAATAAAGTTCGAACCAAATAATCGTTTAATTCACCTCTCTCCAGTTGCGACTCAACATGCCATTAAGAAATAATTGGAAATGAGAGTGATTAGAGCGAGATTTACGAAGAATAATACAAAATAATTAATGTTATCCATATTAATTCTTCTTCAGTAATTTTCTTATTTTGATATTTAGTAAGATAATCGACCATTTTTTCGAACACAGGAACACAGGGGGCTACATACAGCACCAGCAGCGATGGCGAAAATCAAACCGATTCCCATTAATATCCATTTACGTTTTGTAGCGAAAGAATATAATTGCCAATAAGATGACTTAACATTTCCAGTATGAATTTGTTCATTTATAATTTTTTCATGGATTGGATCAAGCTCTTTGGTAGGCTTATGAACTTCATATCAATTTATTTGTATTACAATAGACCTCACCGGATAATCTGGAGGGTTCTACATTTCTTTGTTTGCAGACATAGCCTTATTAAATTTTCTCTTTATGATCGAACAAAGGAATGTAGCTAATGAATGTGTTCTTGAAAAAAAAAATAAGACGAGGAAAATTTCAATCTTTATATTCATGTTTTAAAATTTCGATGACGGCTTGTTAAAAATCATCCATAAATAAAACCTTACTTTATTTGATCATTAGGTTCGTGAAACCATAACCTCCCCGAAATCTTGTAATTCATTGTTGCTTTGTACGAGCATCGAACAATAGAAATTATGATCTGCAATTCTAAATATAGCAATAAATCTTTTAATTATAAAACAAATCCCAAATTTCATTTAATATGTATGTACTATTTTTCTCGGGAGCAACGGGGAAACTCTTTGAGGTTTTAGAAATGTTAATTATTTAGTGTAGCATTTATATATTTTTTTTTTTAATTTTATCTATTATTTCAAAGTACTACAAAAAGGTTGATTTTGTACTTTTTTTTGTGACAAAAAAAGGAAAATCGAAAAAAAAAATTTTTTTTCATATAAATAATAATTAATCCGTGATTATCTGTTACGCAAGATATAAAATTTTAGAATTCGTGGAATAGGAAATTCTATTTTTCGAAGGAATTTAAATTAAATTGTCAAAATTTGGTTAAACCATAATTAAAAACAAATTCGGAATTATTCTGTCACATGAGAAATCTGCCGTGAAACAATATATAAAAGCACCACTTCTCCCATCAAAAATTCAAAAAAAAAAATGTCGTCGATTTCTTTACCAGATGACGTTTTTTATGAAATGTTGCAAAAACTTGACGATCGACCTACTCTATATAATTGCTTATTAGTCAATCGAAATTGGTGTCGAATAGCAGTACCTTCCCTTTACAGAGATCCATTTAATCAACCTAGTGATCATTTATATTATCGATTATTAATACAAACGTATCTTAAATGTATGGATTTTGAAGAGAGAGAACATTTAAATCACCCGAAAAATTTATTGCCAAGAGAGTCAAGCACACTCTTTCCATATGTAAAATATCTGGAAAGGTATTCTGTTAGGGAATTAACCGCAGCAACAAACAATTTTCTTATATACGAAACCGAGGGAATCGATGATAAACAAAAGTATATAACAACATCTCAATCCGGAAAGATCTTTCTAATGAACAAAGAACATCGGTTGAGATTTCAAGAAGCTCTCGTACATCTATTTTTGAGGCAGAGTGAAAACCTCGTGGTTTTTGACGTTAAATCAGCATTCTTTCGTTCCGACTTTATGGATTTGGATTTCTTTGGTGAAATTTTAACGAAATTAATCAAGATACCTTCCTTTCAACTCGCCATCACCAACGAAATAGAAAATTTTTGCACGAAAAAGTTTTTGGGATTCTTGGAATTCATGACAAATAATTGTTCACAATTTTCAGAGTTTAGGATCAATTTAAATAATCCATTTAAATACATTAACCTATCATCATTATTATGTAATTTAATGCAACAACAGGATAATTTAAATAGGATCTTCTTAACGACTGATATGCATTCCAATGTTTTATCATCATTAAAATCCTACAATTTGTTGACAAGTATCGGATTAAGTTTCATCAAATTCAACGACAAAATAATCGAAAGTTTATTAAAATGTATCAATTTATCCAAATTAAAATTAGATCATTGCGATGGTTTAACACCAGATTATTGTAAGATATTGTCTAATGGATCCTTTCGAAAATTAAAAGATTTGTCTATAGGGGTAAACAGGTGGAATCATCAATCAACAGCATCACTTATTAAATCGGTGGGTGGTCCTTCAATCGAAAGGTTAACGATTACAAGTATGACCAACACAATAATGGAACAAGTTTTTATTCATTGTGCAAATGTTAAAACAATTGAATTGGATTTATTTGAAATTAATTTAGAACTTTTACGAAAAATTGAAAGAATGAAATTTGAACATCTCATCATTAATTCATTACACTTGGAAGATCATTCTCAAATTATTGTAAGAATTGTATCAGAATTGGCGGGTTATTTACCCAGCACGACAAAGCATCTTACCTTCAATACTTATCAAACCATATCGAGTCATGAATTAAATAATATTTTAAACAGATCGAATTGTTCTTTTGTATCCTTGGATTTTAGATTTGATATTAATCATGATCTATTAAATATAATTCTGAATTATGCTACGGAAAAAAGATGTTTGAAATATTTGGGACTTGCAAGTTATGCAGATTATGCTGTGTATATAAACTATTTTAATCCATTAAATCAAAATTTTTTATCTCAATTCGAAAAATGTGGTGTCAAAATTGTCAAATTTCATGGAGATCAATATAGCTGTTGAGAAGGGTTTTGAAGTTTATACTTTTATTATATATATATATATGTATATTTTTTTTAAAAAAAAACAAAGAGCAAGGGGAAAAATAAAAGAATAATTTGGTTATATATAACTTCATGATGCATTATTCTGCGTATTAAACATGGTGTTCTTTTATGACGTTTCGACCAAACTCGGCAAAGGTGATATCTCCTACCTTTTCTCCTAAGGACGGTTGCATGAACACTGCAAAAGTATTTCTGGCTATAAAGTTAAGTGGTATATCGCTTTTTGAATCAGGAGAAATACCCATAACCATATGAGGGGTCGCTCGAAGATTTTCGGCTGAAGCCAATTGCATAGCCTCACCAAGTTGAAAGACTAAACAATCTTTTGGTACCGAAGGTTTGATGATCTCATTATTTCGATTTTTAATGTAAAGTCCTGTTCGTTTGTCCGGACATTCGATTTCAGGGTAGGAAGGATCACGTTCATCAACATACATTGCTGATGTCAAACCTGAATAAATTTTATTTAGCAAAGAACAGGCAATCAAAATCTCACGTATTTTTCATACGTGAATTTACTTACCTGTAAGCGATGAGTGGTCGACATGCCACCCACACCAAGAATCATCAATATCTTTCGAAACATTCTTTTGATCCGTTTCTTTAATAGGAAAATAATGCAAAAGTCGAGCTTTGATGGCTTGTGATTCGTTGATGATCCTTTCTAAATAATTCGATTCTGATTTCGGTAGCCTAGTCGAGACTTTATGTTTTTCGTTTCGTGATTAATATAAAAATCATCAAATTTAAAATGCACAAACGTACTAACCAAACGAATCACATGCGCGAGCAACGAGTTTTCCAACATCTATGATGAAACATCCCAAATCTTTAAATGCTACTTCAAGTTCCGGAAGATCTTCCTTTGGCCAAATATTTGGATGACAGTACATTGGAAATTCTTTCAATTGTTCTTTGGTCACGTTAGGAAAATCAACTTTTGGATTTCCATAGTACGATCCTTTCGATGTATCTAAATGAAAGAAGATACAATCATGATTTTGATTGCGTTTCTCATCGTTGATCATTTTAATTTTCAAAAAAAAAAATCATACGATACATACCTTTCTTACCGTCAAAAATTTCTTTACCGTAGCTCCACCCAGTCACGTAATAACTTTGTTCGTCAACAACCTTTTCTTTAACTTCATCAGGTAAATCAGCGAAAACTGATGCTAAACGTAATAAACGAGCACGTTTATTTATATATGATTTAGGAAGATTTTCTACCAATAATATTCCAAAACAATGTGGTTTTGACCCGAATGCTTCCTAATGATTGATTTTGTTACGATAAATTTTTTATGATGATAAGGTTTTTAATATTATATTAATTTACCTCAACAGCATCAGATAAATCGATGTTATTAACAAGATCTGTATAATTTATTATAACTGCCCCTTCATGACTTTTAGTATAATTTAATTTCATTTTTTGCGATTAAAAAATTGGATGAGAATATAAATGATAAATTTGAAAAGGTTAAGAAATGATCAGCTTATTCTTGTTGTACATATCATATGCGCGTGGGTACATTTTTGTATTGGTTACTAAATTGGTTAGATAGGAAATCTGTGATTTTTATCCATCATTTCTTGGCGAGATTCTTATGTTTCCAATTATTCATAGGCCTCTTCTTCTATAAATTAAAACTATTTGCACGATTCGCTTTCTTCAATTACCAGTCGACCTAATTTTTTTTTATCTATTAATCAATTATACAACTTTGGTAAAATGTGTAGGTAGCGCAATGGTGTGCAAATAATTTTTTACATCTGACATGTATTTTAATAAATTTAAAATCTAACCTTTAATTAATAATTAAAATACGGGGTGTTTGTACCCGGGAAAAGGAAAAATGTGAAGCACGACATTGTACAATACAAAATATCTTGGCAAGATATCCAAGTGATATATAATTTTTTTTGTTATTTATTAAGTTAACTAAACCTTTTAATTAAACGATATAAAATATTAAGGGCTCAATTTATGAGCTAACCGACAGTATCAGGCAATTATTGCCTGTCTAAAAAATCTTTAGAAGCATTTTGTATATGCATTTATGCTGCAATAAATTACTCTCATCTACAATAAAAGAATTGGACCCATAAATTATTCATGTTTTAACGAAAAATCGAAAAATCAATTGTCAAATTCAAATGTGTAAATGCGGATACAAATTTCGCTGCAACTTTTAAATAATTGAGAAACAACATCTATGCTCTTTGTTTATTTTATGCAAACAAATAGTTTTATTATTTTTATTTATTTTTTTTTAAAAAAATTTTGTTTTCGTTAAATGCTTTTTTTTTTTTGATTTGTTTGAAAGTTTAAATATGGGTAATAATCATTCCAAAAATAAAAAATCCAAAGAACTTGGTAAAAATAATAAAAATAACAAAAGGTATAGATGTTGCATAAATATTTTGATTATAAGATGTTGACATAAACGAACTTATTAAACTTTAATAGATAATCGTTTCCCGTCAATCATAATCCCGACACAAAAATCTGACACCCTAAAATCTTAACAAGAGCATAATCTCGATGAACCTAATATACTAAAAACCCAAAATCCCGATAACCAAGTTGACATATTAGGGTTAGGGAATTAGTCATCGTGATTAATTGTTATGGTCATATCGGAAATATGAACTTTCAGGTGTTCGTTAGTGTCGGGATTGTCAGGGTTTTAGACTTTCAGGAATTATTACTGTCGGGATTTCGTGATAGATTCGAAAAAAAATTTTTCATTAGTCCGACTATGAATGAGGCACAGTAACAACCTATTTTATTATTTTCTAATGATGTCTTCCTATATACATGTTTTGATCATCAACGCACGTGACTCCAAATTCTTATTTAAGTAAGAATCGGTAAAAAACAAAGTTCCGAAATTTCTTTATTTAAAAATACTATTTCAGTAGCTCCATTTATCTGCAAATGGTCTGATGCTCATTTAAAACAACAACGCTTTAATACTCAAAAGGAACTTGAACTTCATGTCGACAATGATCACAAGGACTTTACAAAATTAGAGTAAGGGTCATAAGGGTCTTTTGATTTTCAAACCCTCTGATATCTTTTCTTATGACAGAGTCTTGCATCAAGGCCGAATTTATCTATGTACATGGGAAGGTTGTAAAAAGCAGCAGAGTAATATTATCAAGTTAAAAGGTATAAATAAATACGCCAAGTAGCTTTTTATTCTGTACATCATCAATAACAAGCTGTTATTACATTTTGGCAGAACATTTGCGTAAACACACCCATCAGAAGCCATTTAAGGTAGCTTAAAAAACCGTTTTTGATTACTAACTGTAAAATGATTGAGTTGACCTTATTTCTTCGTCTTTAGTGCCCAATCTGCAATAATCGATTTTGATCCCTGATACACTACATCGACACTTGATTATCGACCATAATGAAGGCGCCAATGATATGACGAATATTATTAATTGTGGTGATGAAGAAATGCTGTATGAAGAAGTTGAGAAGCAGAGAATAGGTATTGCTATATCACAATTCTCTTCTATTTGACATACAGTGATATAATTAAACGATTGCTGAATTTGAAATCTGTAGTTCTTTATTAATGATTTTTTCACTTAGTATGCCCAATTAAAAAATGTTCTGCCTTGTTATTAAACATTACTTATCCTAAAATATTTTCATTTCTTGTAAGCCAACAAAGATGACAACAATCTTCCTATGTCTTATGCCGATGCGGTAAAGAAATCTCCACACAAAACTCTTGACGATATTTTCCCTAAAGTAAATGAAAATAAAATGTATAACGATTATCTTTCTAAACGCTTCAAAAATGAAAAGGCTATGTGGAAATTATTTTGGGAGGGGATAGCGTGTATGGAAAGTTCGGTTCTGGATATGATCTTGAAAACGAGAATCAAGATGATTTACCCGATGCGCCAAAGGAAATCGAATATAAAACTGAAAGAGAAAGGGATCAGGAAATGTTTGATTCATATTGTGAATGCCATAAAGGATCAAAGGCGGTTGAGTTATTAACTAAAGCTTTTGAAGTATTAGAAAATGGAATTTAAGCATGTAATTTCGTTATTAAGGGATCGCATTTTTTATATTATATTGTTTGTTTTTTCACGCCCTTGACAACAGAAAGAATATCATGTCTGATAACAATAAATAAAACTAATAACATAGTACAACCTTTTTTTATTGCGATATAATAAATTTAATTTTCATTTTTCTAATACAATAAAAATATTTTTCTATTTTATTTATAATTTCTGACGAATAGTAAATCCATGTTACAATTTTCTTGAATGGCTCTGGAAAATCCGGATTAACAATGGCATCTTCTAACAACATGAGAGCACGTTGCCTTTGATCTGGTGCATATACATTATCCAGGTGCCATATCCGTTATGGACGAGAGCATTTCTAACTTACTTGTATCGGACTAATACGTGAATTTCATCCAATGTCAACCCAAATTGTTGGGTTTTCACTTTATCATCTTTGTTAATTGTTTTATATAAATATAAATGCGAAAACTTAGAAACTGTTTGTCCCTATGTAAATCTTTATTGTAAACTTCTAGGAACTTGTCATACCAAGCCCCTATTATTTCGCATATTCGGTGCATCGTATCTCAACTTAAAACTCCCGAACAAAAGCCTTCACCTTATTAAGCAACAATTGAGTTCAAAGTTAATTACTGCTAAGTTTCTATAATGGACCGAGAATCACTTACTTTTTTTATAATAAGTAATGTATCTTTATTATTAATTGCAATTTCCCATATTTCATATGGTATTTCGTTCCGTTTTTTAGTTCCTATATGAGAAAATGACAAGCGAATAACTGTGCCTCCTGATTCAGAAACCGCATCTGCTTTACGTTCCATGCAATTGGCATGTTGAATAAAGTATGTCGCCATTTAAAAAGTGTAATATGATTAGATATAATTTTGAATAATTAGAAAAATAATAACGGCCAGACAAGGGAGTATTTATATATAAATTTGAAATTGACTTGACCGCGAATACTGATTAATTATGTTGAATTGATGTCAGAACGGAAATATTCATGTGAAATTCCAGCACATGGAGAAGAAGTTCTTAATGAGACGATTTAGGTATCAACGCTACAAATTGTAATGCGCGCGCGTTTACATTAAAAAAGATATAGCGAAGTTTCATTGTGATCAAATCGCGAAGTGGACCGTAATTTTGGCCAAGCTATTATTTTAATTATTTTATTTTAAGCAGAAAAAAAATAATTCCGAAATTAAAAAAAATTAAATTGATAAATTTACATCAAACATTTAAATAAATATATCGTAAACGTTATTAACATTCTTATACCGATAAATCTAAAAACTCAAGTTTGATACTATATATATAGCCTCCTACTTGAAATTTTTTAATTTACAATTAACTAATTGAAATACATAAATGAATAAAAAATTTTTGTGCTGATAAAATGTGATTATGTGATTTAATTAAAATTAACCAAACAGAATTAATAAAATTAATAATAAAATTAACTTAACAAGTAGTTATTAATTAAAAAGACACGAATAATTTTTAAGTCCTTTTACGAATTCTCAATCTGTACTTGTAAATTTGTACTGACAATCTGCATTGAGTATCAGAATTTCTTTCTACTCTAACTTTTCTACGATACCATAATGATATTTTTGCTAATTTAATTAAAAGAAAGCGTTATTACATAAAGTAATTAGTCAAATACAAAAATAATAATTTATTATAATTTGATGATGTATTTTTCCCTCATTATATAATATATATTGCAATAAAGAAAACGATAATTATTCCTATCCATTAGTTGATTTCATCTAAATCAATTAATAAATTGTTTTTAATTTTAATTTTCAAAATATTATTCACTTAGTAAAAAAAGCTTGGATACATTCGCTTTGCGTAAATCCCGTGACTAATATGAAAGAATCGTACCATAACAAATGTTTCTCAAGAATTTCAAAATTATATTAAAATTATATTAAAATCCTCAATATATGACAATAAGAACACGACGCGAAAAGAATTGTTATATTACCTTTTAAATAATAACCTAGGATGTAAATACTTCTCTTTATCCATTGCATGGATCAAACGAAAGAACTTAAGTATATATAATGAAAAAAAAGACACGGATTTTAATAAATTGATGATTTTATTAATAATGGTTAACCAATATACAGTATATTTATATAAATAAATAATAAAAAAGTTTATAGATACTTGATTGATATAATATATTATATTATAAAAAAAAAAAAAAATGAAAAATATATATTTTTATATATTTTTTATATAAATGTTCTTATTAATAAATTCGATAAAAATATTTCTCGCGGGTTATCTTCTATTGCTCCAGTAGGAATTTTTAATTGGTATATCTATAAAAAAAAAAATTTTTTTAATATCGGGATAAAATCAAATCGTACGTAAATTCAAAAATCCTTACCATAAAATGGACTCCATATTTCATTATCCGAGTGTACCGTTATTTTAAAGTAATTCTGTGCCTGTTTAATACGCTCCTTTGAGAATGTAAATTCCCTAGTAATACCGAGTTCTTTAAAACTCCCTTTCCTTTTTGCATAATCGATAAAAATTTTCAATGAAATATCCAGATAATGTTCCAAACGATACAACTTTAGACATTCAAGATTAAATTTAGATTCATTAAATAAGATCTCCAAGGATTTATCAGAGACAGGAAAGTTAAATTCGAAAATTTTGAGAGAACAGGCGAGTACTTTAGAGAAACCTTGAAAAAGGTTACGATCCGATAAATTTCTACGAATTACTTTAGTGTTTAATTTCAAATGAATTAATTGATGCAAATTTCTTAATAATTCCAATAAATCCTCCAATGAAATTGAATAAATTAATTCGCTACGGAAAATAACCAAATGAAAGTGAGTTAAATTCGAAAAACATAACCCTTGAATTTCCTTAATATAAAGACAATCAGAATCATCAATTTTAAGTGATTTCAAATTTTTCGCTGATAAAATGATCGTTTTAAAGAGTGTAATGGGATTTGAATTATGAGAGCTATAACCTTCATAATTTAGATGTTCTAATCTATTAAAAGTAATCGTCGAAATATCTCGTGAAACGTCACCATCAGGAGAAAGCATGAACTTAAGATCGAGCGTGATTAACTTTGGTAATGATTTTAATATAGATAATAATTTTGAAGTGAATAAAATTGAACATTCTAATTTAAAAAAAGTTAATGAATTCGAATGTTTTCGTAGGGCAATACGAAATGGTTCAAATTCATCTTTCCAAAAATCATGGGATAATAATAAAGATTTTAAGTGATCCTGAGATTGAATAAAGTTAATTAAATTTCTAGAAAATTTGGGTTTTATCGAATTAATGCTAAGAATTTGAAAGTGTTGAACATTTGGTGATAAAACGTCTTGAAGTTTTAAAACAAGTTCTGCGACAGGAGTCATCAAGTCCGTACCGTTATTATTGAATAATCCAATTGATAATTTCCTAACATTGACTAAACTTTGTTTATGATTCTTAAATTCACAAATATTAAGGATCGACCTTGGTCCACTTAATAAATCATTATAAAACAAGTGAAGAGTGTCAAATTGTTAAACAATAAATTTCCAATATACTTGTTAATACTAATTACTCTTTTGCTAACCCTCCTTCCTCCGTTTGAAACTCGAGACCGACCATTTCGAGGCAGCCCATCTATGTTTGAGAAATGTATCGAAGTCCAAAGTCTCATTGCTTTTTGTAAAGGATTCAATTCAAATTCTCTGATAAAAGTATGATAATTAAAATAGGCCCTGGGTGTAGAAAGATCATCTATTTCAATTGATCGTTTAGACAAACATTTTTTATCAAATGGGTCAAGACATTGAATCAATGTGTCAAATATTTGAATTAATCTATCATCATCTGTATTCACCAAACTCACAAAACTCAAATTATTTATTTCTATTTCTGGATCAAATTTTTTTATGAATTTAAAAGGATTAATCCAAAGAATAGGAATAAAAATTCGACAAAAGGTTCTATTCACGCGGATGCATGAATATAAAGTTTCCATATCATCTTTTAAATAGCTCATAATCAAATCATGACATTCCCGATAACGGGGGTCTAAAATTGTCATAATATTTACTTTATCTCCTGACATTTCGAATTCGGCTTGGAGAAAATATTAGAAATAAAAAAATATTTCCTTTTCTCTTTCTAGTGTAAAGGAAATTATAATATGATCATATATATATAATTGTTTTTTTGACTTTTGTTTCCAAATAAGCATATGAATTTTTATTGTGTTCGGTTATGGTTGTTGCGCACTCTGCGCAGTATGCACAGTAAAAGATCATGACCAAATTTGGATTGAAGTTCCTATATGACGTACTTTTTTAACAATAACACCTTTTGTTTTTGTCATCCCAAATGGGGTTAAAGGATTTTTAGTTCAATAAAAAAACTTTTCATGCGATTAATAGTCATAAATGATAGTTTTGGAGATGACCAAAATCTATAAATTACCGTTTCCCGCGATAAATTTTAATAAATTTCACACATGGACGTTAAATTAACAAAAAATTACCGGTGTTATTTTTAACGCAAAACCTCACAAAAAAAATAATTTTTTTAACGAACAGAATGCGTTTTCACAAAATAAAAAATTTATAAATTTAAGATATTATTATGCAAATACTAATTTATTCGTATCAATTTGGTATATACAAATAAACATTTTTGCTGAAAATTGAGATGATCTAACTTTTGGAAAAAAATACAAGAATTAATAATTCCTTTTCCACAACTTTCGTTTTTTGTAAGTGATGTCGACCAACAAATGCTATATACTGCGAATGATTTTCAATATAACATTACCCCGCAGTGATTGAACGTCACTGTGTTTTACAACATAAATAATCCTGATAACATTTTTGGACAATCCCATAATCATTAATTTCCTTTAATAACTTGGTGTTTCTCAAAAAATGGATTCTTCGTGAACAAAACTATAGAGAACATTTAGTTCGGAATCGAACATTATAAATTAATATCGGTTCACGCGTTCCCGTTCTCAAGAACAAATTTTGGTTTTTAGTCTATTATCTCATATATAGAGTTTTTAGAATTTCCCAAGAATTTCTATACGATGAAGACCGAACAAAGCCATCAAAACTAAAAATATTCTTTAGTCTTCCTTCCACGAATATTTGTACCTCATTGGATACAATAATTAAAATCAAATAAAAGGATTACCACTTTATACCCGACCGATCGACGTAAATGATATAAAAATGACGGTTAACCAGTTTTATCCTGATCAAAAAAAAAAAATTTTTTTTTTTTTTTTTTTTTTTTTTAACATCGATATAATAATAATTTGAATTTTTTTCACTAAAAAATATCTATCTGAAGCATGTTCAAAAAACCTACATCAAACATTAAGAACTTTTCCTTATTGCGTAGTTCGGATCGTAGAAAATTTAAAGAAGAAATATTAAAAAAGTTTCCATCATTAGACTCATCACTTCATATCTTAACCGAATCCACAATAGATACAACAGAAACTCCAATAAATTCATTTATAGTACCAGAGCATATTCAATCAGCTAAATTTGTTTCAAATGCGGGAACTCATGGTGTAATTTACATTACTAACGAAAAGCAACCTATCTGGATTAGAATAGATAAAGATAAAAAGGACTTTTTGATTCCGAGTGGTAATCATATTTTCAACTAGTTGTTAAGTTTAACCGATAAAAGGTTATTAATGAAAAGGGGAATTTTCTTTCCATTGTAGTTTATACCTTGTGGAAATTTTCGGATTTGTTACCAAAAATACCAACATTCACTCCTGTAATTTCTATACTGACAGGAGGAGCTAATTTTATGATTCCAGGTATTGCATTTCCTTCTGAAGGTTTGCCTGAAGTAAATGAAGGTGAACTTGTATCTATTGTGATCAGAGATTTAAAGTAAGCACTTATTTGAAATGATTATTTTTTTTATTAATTAATTTTTTAAACTTTTTAATCGTTTTGACTCGTTTTAGCATACCAATGGCTGTAGGGACAATGAATATATCAACAAAATTACTTAAACCTGGATCAACTCGCAAGGGAGTTGCAGTTAATATATTACATGTATTTGGTGATTATTTATGGAGTATGGGTGATCAATCTAGCCCACCAGAACTATCTAATGTTAAATTATGTCAAGAAGAAACTGTTGAGGCTGATGCATCAGAATCAAAAGTTGCTGAAATAACTGAAGATATAGATGAAAATATCGAAAATTTACATAAAGAATTATCAATTTCCGGTACAAAAAAAAAAATTTCTTTTATTTACTTTCGGCTAAAGTAATTAACTTATCTTTTTTTAATTAAATTCTGTAAATGAATGTAGAGGTGGATAGGTTACTAGAAGCTTCATTTTATCAAGCTTTATTGGAAAAATTAACACCAAACACTCCATTACCGATGTCAACTTCACAATTTTATTCTGCATATATTTTGCCATGTCGTCCTGTTGATACTGATAATGAAGTTGACATTAAAAAGTCAAGTTATAAAAAGGTACAATTGTTACTTAAATGTCTGTTTTTTTTTTTAATTTCCAATCTTTTGATTAAATCTTTCTTTTAATAGGTATCAAAATTCTTGAAAGCTATGGAAAAAAAGGGAGTTATCAAAATAAAAGAATCTAATCAAGATTTGGTTCTTTATCACGTCAATTGGAAACATGAAAGGTAAGAAAATCTTGTTGACTACGGATTATAATATTTGTGATTTTAATCTTGTTGGTTATTATCCTAGTTTAGATGCATTTCGACCTCACAAAACTATTGAAAGTGCTACAAATGAAGTTGAAGCACAAGCGTCAACTTCAGTTTTGGAATCTATGCAAATTCAGGTTAAGGAAGTATTTAAGCCGAAAGGTGCTGTTGTAGACTTGTTTAAAGCTCAAGGGCAAAAGTAAGTTAAATTTCGTAAAATAGATACATAATTATTGTTAATAACAAAATCTAACACAACTCAACTTTATAAGTATCAATGAGAACACTACATATGAATACATAGAAATTAAGACGATCATTTTGGACTATCTTAAATCTCATAATCTTTCCGATAAACAAAATCGAAGGTTCGGTACTTCTATAAAGAAAGTCCTGGAATTTTATTTTGGTGGAGTTACCTTACTAAATAGCAAACTTTTTGTTTTCTTTCAGATTGGTTATTCCCGACGAACAAATTCGAGAAGCTTTAGTAACTAAATCAGGGGAAAGAATTCCTGACAAGTGGACAAGGGATGATTTAGTACATCAAATACAATTAAAAATGGAACCCTTTCACTATGTTATATTTCCTGATCATGATCCTGAATTAAGGTAATATTTATTATAAAACAAAAAAATTCTAAATTTAAATTTTTTTTTTTTTATTTAAAAAATTTTTTTAAATAAATAGGAAAGGTGCACCAAAATGTATTCAAATATCGGAATTGAAACGTGTAGGCAATAAAGTTGTTACTACTATTTGTGGATTAGAAGTATATAGAATAAATCCTAACGAATTAATAGAACCTCTTAAAAAATTATGTGCGAGCAGTGTTGCAGGTGAGATTTTTTTTTTAAAATAAAATTATTGAAAATTTAGATAAATATTTAAAATAAAAAATATACATTTTAGTTAATCCAACGCCTCAATCTTTACCAAAGAAACCTTTAATGGAAGTTATGATACAAGGGCCACAAATCAAACAAGTTAAAAATTATCTGATAAATACAAAAGGATGTCCTGAAAAGTATATTGAAGTGAAGTCGAAAGGAAAAAAGTAGAAAATTTATTGCAACACTTAGATACTTTTAATGTACAGTATATATAAATAATATACTGTTTAACCCATTATATAATTAATTTTATATATTGTATATCAAAAAAAAAAACAAAAATAAATTAGAAAATAAATTAAGAATATCTTACCTTATCTTATACATATATGTTTAATAATTTTAGCATAAAATAACATATTGGGAGCTTGTCAATAGAAAAGGAGGAAATCTAAAAAATATAAAAATTTTACTTCATATGCTAAATATGATTTTTTTAGTAAAATAAGTTCAGATTTAACTTTAACTCATAAAAACTTTTTTTTTTAGATTTCCCCTCTTTCTATTGACAAGCTCCCATATATTAAAAATTTTAATTAAAATTTACATTTTTAATAAAGAAAAAAATTGATTTATATAAATATCATTTTTATTATAAAAATTAATATTAAAATAATATAATCTTCAGAGTTAAAAAAAAGCTATTTTAAAGGTTTCAAAATTTAAGTTACATATTAAAATAAGTTTCAAAATAGCATTATTAAACAATAGTCAAGCATTAATTATTAGTTATATATATAACATATATACTATTTAATATAATACTTAATATTTATAAATAATTATATGATTTAATTAAATATTAATATAAGATCAAATCAATTTTATAATAAATTTTATTCAAATTCTTTATCTTTAATAAATAATAAATATGCAACTTATAAAAATTTAGTTGTAAACAAAAAATTATTTCTCTATATTTAATAATAATGCTATTTGAAACCTATTTTAATATATAGCTTAAAAATTTTAAACTTTTTATAAACCTTTAAAATGATTTTTTTTAAATCCAAAATTTGATTAAACTTAATTAAGTTAAAAAACCTATTAGAAGTTTAAATAAAGATATTTATTATAAATAATTAGTTTAATCTTAAATATCTTAAAACTCAAATTTTCTAAAAATAATTTAAGAAAGCTATTTTTAATATTTACTATTATTAGAAAATATTATTAATAAAGTAAAAAAATCATTATATTAGAGTTTGTTTATTAATAAAAGTAATATAAATATTATATCTAAAAAAACTATAATATTAGTTTAAAAGTATTTATAAATAAAAAACCTATTTTCATTTTTTTTGAATATAGTAAATAAAATTATTAATATAATTAATCTTTTTATAAATAAAAGGTTTAAATTTTTTTTTTTTACAAGTGATGTGTAAGCTGGAAGTGAGTTGGTTAGCGTAAGAACATCTTTTACAATATTCGATACACAATTACTGAACTCCTTAAGTCTTAACACTAAGACACTTAGACTTTAATGAG